TTCCTTTGGTTTTGTTTGCAGTTGTGTGTTGTTGAACGCCTGTCCGTTGGTGTATGTTTATTGTTTTCTAGTGTTTAGTGTTTTACGCACCGTTTGCGTAATCGCTCGCCTCCTGTGTTTTGAGGCCCGTTATTTTGTATTTGTCTTTGTGACAATTAAAGTCGGTTCGACTAAGCTTCTGTGTCCTGCGCCTGACTCCAACACCGTATCCACATCAGCCCTTGACAGACAATGCATGTCAGAGCAAAAACCAAGCCATGAGGTCGATGGAATGTCCGTAGAGCTCAGAGACAGATCTGGGGAAGGGTACCTAAAACTTTCTGCAGCATTGAAGGTCCCCAAGAACACAGTAGCCTCCATCATTCTTAAATGGAAGAAGTTTGGACCCACCTTCCTAGAGCTGGCCGCCCGGACAAACTGAGCAATCGGGGGAGAAGGGCCTTGGTCAGGGAGGTGACCAAGAACCCGATGGTCACTCTGTGGAGATGGGAGAACCTTCCAGAAGGACAACCATCTCTGCAGCACTCCACCAATCAGGCCTTTATGGTAGTGGCCAGGCGGAAGCCACTCCTCAGTAAAAGGCACATGACAGCCCGCTTGAAGTTTGCCAAAAGGCACCTAAAGGACTCTCAGACCATGAGAAAAAAGATTATCTGGTCTGATGAAACCAAGATTGAACTCTTTGGCCTGAATGCCAAGCGTCACTTCTGGAGGAAACCTGGCACCATCCCTACGGTGAAGCATGGTGGTTGCAGCATCATGCTGTGGGAAAATTATTCAGCGGCCGGGACTGGGAGACCAGTCAGGATCGAGGGAAAGATGAACGGAGCAAAGTACAGAGAGCTCCTTGATGAAAACCTGCTCCAGAGCGCTCAGGACCTCAGATTGGGGAGAAGGTTCACCTTCCAACAGGACAACGACCCTAAGCACACAGCCAAGACAATGCAGGAGTGGCTTCGGGACAAGTCTCTCAATGTCCTTGAGTGGCCCAGCCAGAGCTCGGATTTGAACCCGATTGAACATCTCTGGAGAGACCTGAAAATAGCTGTGCAGCGACGCTCCCCATCCAACCTGACAGGGCTTGACAAGAATGGGAGAAACTCCCCAAATACAGGTGTACCAAGCTTGTAGCGTCATACCCAAGAAGACTCCAGGCTGTAATCGTTGCCAAAGGTGCTTCAACAAAGTACTTAGTAAAGGGTCTGAATCATCCCGTGGCTGAATGTAGTTGGGGACCCCTGCCATAGGGACTATGGTGACAACATACAAGATATCAAAAAGTTGTTCTCCATGGATATTCAATTGTATTTAGTGTGAATTCTAGCTATCCAACAAAAAAATATTATTCAAGATTATATGCATTTTTAGATTGAGCTCTGTGTGAAGGAGCCTATCCTCGGCCCTTCTGACTCCAATGCATTAGAGTAATTGAATCGTTCTTTTGATTTAGCTGAGGGGAGCTGACCAAAGCGTGAAATGTTCTACCTAAAAACAATTGATCCTTGATTCCTGTACGGTTTTGGAAACCTTGAACACTCAACTTAATTATATCCTTCCTGTTTGGCCCTGTCCGGGGGTTTCTTCGGATGGGGCCACAGTGTCTCCGGACCGCTCCTGTCTCAGCCTCCAGTATTTATGCTGCAGTAGTTTATGTGTCGGGGGGCTGGGGTTAGTTGGTTATACCTGGAGTACTTCTCCTGTCTTATCCATTGTCCTGTGTGAATTTAAGTATGCTCTCTCTAATTCTCTCGTTCTCTCTTTCTCTCTGAGAACCTGAGCCCTAGGACCATACGTCAGGACTACCGGGCATGATGACACCTTGCTGTCCCCAGTCCGCCTGGCCTTGCTGCTATTCCAGTTTCAACTGTTCTGCCTGCGGCTACGAAACCCCTACCTGTCCCAGACCTGCTGTTTTCAACTCTTAATGATCGGCTATGAAAAGCCAACTGAGAGACCTGAGCCCTAGGACCATACGTCGGGACTACCGGCCGTGGTGACTCCTTGCTGTCCCCAGTCCGCCTGGCCTTGCTGCTATTCCAGTTTCAACTGTTCTGCCTGCGGTTATGGAACCCCTACCTGTCCCAGACCTGCTGTTTTCAACTCTTAATGATCGGCTATGAAAAGCCAACTGAGATTTATTCCTGATTATTATTTGACCATGCTTGTCACTTATGAACATTTTTGAACATCTTGGCATGGTTCTGTTATAATCTCCACCCGGCACAGCCAGAAGAGGACTGGCCACCCCTCATAGCCTGGTTCCTCTCTAGGTTTCTTCCTAGGTTTTGCCTTTCTAGGGAGTTTTTCCTAGCCACCGTGCTTCTACACCTGCATTACTAGCTGTTTGGGGTTTTAGGCTGGGTTTCTGTACAGCACTTCGAGATATTAGCTGATGTAAGAAGGGCTATATAAAATAAAATTGATTGAATTGATTGAATTATCATCCCAAAAAAACGTTACAAATAGACTGCAAAATATACACTGGCTACTGTTAGATGTTTTACCACAGATTTTTAGTGTGGCAAAGCTTCAAGCCACGTTTTTTTTGTTCCCTCCCAAGTTTCCATTTGCTCAGGAAGTGTTGTAGTTCAGGTAAATGTGCAACGCAAAATACCTCTGTGTGATTCTGTGTTAAAACAGCACACAGTAAGTATATCTTTTGTATTTGTAAAACGTTAGAGTTCAGAAATCTGCATTTTCAAAATGCAGACCATCAAAAAATCTGTGTTTTAGACCATTTCACCTGATCATAGAGTGATCAGGGGTGTGCAACTATAGTTTTCCTTCACAGAAAATATATTACTGCAACACATTCACCAGAAAATAGCTTGACATGACAACATAAGTACAACGCCATTTGGATAGCAGCCACACAAGTAAATGAGCTTACAATGAAAAAACAAGGACATTATATTTCTATTGTTTATCATAGAAAGAATGTAGCCAGCTACATTTCCTAATGTTTTAATTGAAGTTAATCTTGCATTTTACCAGAGAAAAGTAGGCTACACTGAGAAAAGTACCATAGAAAAGTAGGCTACACCGAGAAAAGTACCAGAGAAAAGTACACATGGGTCAGAGCGCTGTCTGCAGATAGAATGCTGTTGGTGAATTCTCATCCGACTGGAGAAATGCAAGTCAAGCACAACATTTGTCTAATGGCAAGCAGAAATTACAGTAAGAAGCATTTTAGATTTACAAAACGCATTAAGATATTTCTTATGCGTTTTATCATTATTTTTTGGCAGAATTCTGCGCTAATGCGACCCCTGAACTATTTTGGGGGGATATGAAAGTATAGTTTCTGAGGTTTCCAAATGCATATTGCATGCAAGGATTACGAGGGGGTGTGGTATATGGCCAATATACCACTTCTAAGGGCTGTTCTTATGCACGACGCAACGCGGAGTGCCTGGATACAGCCCTTAGCCGTGGTAAATTGGCCATATACCACAAACCCCTGTGGTGCCTTATTGCTATTATAAACTGGTTACCAACGTAATTAGAGCAGTAAAAATAAATGTTTTGTCATACCCGTGGTATATCCCACGGCTGTCAGCCAATCAGCGTTCAGGGCTCAAACCATCCAGTTTATAATAAACAAATTGGCCGAGCTGTGGTCAATGGTTCAAATGAGAACCCAAGAGGGCTGGGTATGATCCCTTGGGTTCTCGAGAGCTACCTCTGCCCTGGACTACATGACAACAATTTGTATAACTTGTATTATGCCTGTCACCTTAGCGATCACATGTATGACTTTGATTGTGTATGATTTGATTTATGTATAATTTGATTTCTGTGCGATTTGATGGTTTTTTGTCGTTTTGTGTTTGATTTCTGTGGCAGTGCAGTATTACTTGTTTACAATGAGAGTGGGTGCAGTTTTAAGGGGCCCCTGCTGCTTCATTATGATAAACACACCTTTCACCATACTTGCCAATGTCACAATTTGCTTGTGTTTGGGGATTTTAGGCCTTGTCTGATGATTAATGACTTACATATATATGACTGCATAACAAAAATGAACTGATTAGTCATTCCCCTCACCTTTTTCTTACTTGATCAGGCTTGGAAGAAGTTGGAGAGAGACCTGAGAGGACCAGGTTGTGCTTGTCATGACGTTCTACAGCCAGTAGAGGGAAATCTTCACCAAGGTAAGACTCAAAATGGCACAACCTCAGAGTGAATGATCAACCTCTAAAAACCTATGTGTGTGGTCACCATGGTGTGAATGTAAAATGAAAAAATTAATGAAAAAGACTTCAATCATTTCAAATTCCATGATAAGCGCTCAGTTATTTATTTTATTAGGTGGTTGGCAAAGCCCACTAATAGCAAACCCTTCCAAAATGCCATGAACAGGATCATTTGTGAAGCCAACAAAATGGTGTAAGAAATCCAAACCATAACTTTAAACAATTAATTAAAAGGCAAAGGCCTTACAACCTTAGTGATTTAAGATTTCAATACAAAGTAAATATTCATTTCACGAAAATGAACACATGTAAGCATAACGTGTGTATCAAAATACTTGAAATGGAAGGGCATTTGGCCAGGCCTCCTTTAATTTATCATCTTTCACATTCATTCTTACACACATTGCTCTAGTTAAAAGTATTCAATAATTTACATACCATTATTTGAAACTTTTAAAATCATATTCACCCAGTTATCCAAGTTGTTTTAGATCAGAATATTGGCACTAAATGCTGTAATAAAAAAATGAAGAGTCCCCATGAAGTCTTACCTTTGGTCCCTCTAATAGCAGTCAAAAACTATAGGATATCATAGTTTATGTTTGACACTTGATCAGTTGATGAAGTTTGATATCAAAGCCATTTGAGACATTGAGTCACTTGCACAAGTACTTCTTGCCCATCTTCATGATGTTGTGGATTTGAAATCTTGCCTCTTGTAGCCTCTGTTCCATGTATGAACGTGTTTTAAACCAGTGAGCAGCATCATCGGATGACATGGTCTGTGTTTTCACCAATGCACACTCATTCATGCCCATCATCCATCCTGTTCGCATCTCCATTGCTAACGTTCTCCCCCTCTCCATCCCCTATCGCCTCCACCCCCACCTCTTCCTCCCCTCTGTCTTCCTCCTTCTCTGGACGTGGTGGGGGCGGCTCCAGGACTGGAGGTGGGGACTGGGGAGGTAGGGGGATGGCCTCTCCCTTCTTGTCCAGCTCGGCCAGCTCTCGGGCAGAGCAGGTGGGGGTCGGGGTAGGGTAGGTGTGGTGGAAGGATTCATAGTCCACCTCGTAGAAGCCCTCCTCTAGGGAGAGCACAGGGGTGAAGCGCTCCCCCCACAGAACCTCTGAGTCTAGGTATGAGCTGCGCGCCTGGCATGTCATTCCTTGAGAGAGAGAGGGGGGCGGGAGACAGACATTAATGACATGAAATTGAGGATAGGAACTCGAAACGACTGTGTGATTGGGTATGATCTAAACATATATTTTTTTAAATCCCTTGTCATGGAACTATCTTAAGACCTGGACCCAAGCTGGGTCGTTGTGCTTTGTGGATCTAATTAAGATTCACTATGCTTTGTCTTCCTGACTTTAAATGAGCTGTACTCCTTTCATTGTGCAAACATTTTAGCAGGGTTTCCAGGGTTGTATTAAAACAACTGAGACAAGAGAGTGAGACAAGATCTCACTGGGAAAAGGAAATAGGCTGACGAGTGGTTGTAATACAGAGATGTGCATCTTCTCTTTCAATCACACACGTGTACACACATCAAACGCACAGATGCAGAAACACAGACAGATAAACACACACACAAACACACACACACACAAACAAACACACACCTTTCTGAATATTTATACGTGGATTGCCTATAAATAGCTTGTCAGCATTTTCATCCTCTGCTCAAGTGAACCTTGAAGAACCACATCAATTACAGTACATATTATCCACAGAAATGAAGAAACAAACCGACAGACCATGCACAGCCAGCGCCAGGAGTATATCAAGGCAGACAGACCAATGTACACACACACATACACACACATACACACACTGATATTAAGAGAAGTAAGGGGTTGCGGGTTGGATGATTCACAACCTTGTACTGTATCAAGTTATCTTTTTCAGCAGCCATAATGTAAATGTATATCACTTCATTTGCATTGCACCTGCATCAAATTTATTAAATTATAATGATATAGCTGTGCTTCTTTGAATATAAACAGCCCGCTGAATGAAGAAAAAATACAACTGGCAATTCAATGGTATCATGTATAGAGTGGGATACCTACATACTAAGCCTGATGATGATAATTCTTAATATACAATCAACATACCAATTAGCCTATGTATTTTCATGAAGCATCTAGAAAAACTAAACAAAGCCTTTGAGCACCGTATGAGTTGAGAGTATGAATAAGAATAAGAGATAAACGCAGTTGTCACGCCTACTCCCGTTCTGGCGCTCTCGCTGGTCTACTAACCACCGGTCCTGGCAACCATCATTACTCACACCTGGTCCCCATCGTTATGCACACCTGGACTTCATCAGTACCTTGATTCCTTCTCCTTTATTTAGCCCTCAGTAGCCTCAGTCTTCAGGCAGTATTGGTTTTGTTTTTCATGCCCAGTACGCGTCTCTTGTTTTGTATGTCTTCATGGTCTTCGTTATTAAACTCACCAACTGTACTTGCTGCCTGACTCCCTGCGTCTACGTTGCAGAAGCTTCCGTTCTCTAAGCACCTGAGAGATTAACAGCAAACCAGTAAACTCTTTCCTACTTCAGGCAAATCCCACTTCAAGGCCTGATTGGGTTTGCTTCCTGAGGGAAAAGAGCAAAACAACCAACTGCTGTCGATAGCTTTTAAAAATTCAAAACCGCATCAGATTTTAGTTTGTCCCCTTGACTAAACCGTCAATATTGACATGGGATACTGAGGAAAAACCAGCCCTTGCTGTGCGATGGATCAAAGGTTATCCCCCTGTTAAACCAAAGTCTATATATTGAGTAGAATATCAAAAACAAATGTGAAGCAATAACACCCACCCAGTCTGCATCCTCATAAACAAAACTGAAGGTAAATCACCTGCAGTGTGTCTTTGAATCAAAGCGACAGTAGTTCAGTTCACTGCCACCGCCCACTCCTGGACCGAGAATCATTGCCGGTGGGAGGGATAAGGGAATTGGGTCGTTCCATGAAAAGAGTGCCTTTTGCATCCCTTTGATGTTTTAAGTATAAATTGTGCACCAATATTGAATTTTAAAAGCCTGTTATATTAAATGAAGTGCCCTTTAATATAGACCATATGGAAAATTCAATCAATCCTAATTTTAATATGACTAAAGGCTTGCTAAAGTGCCAAAATCCAGCCTTTTCACATGTCTCTCTGTCAACCCTGTGTCACTTCTAGGAAGATTTTAACCCACAATCCCAAAATGTCTCCAAGTTTCACCATCATTGAAAGCCCTAGTTATTTTGTTGCTTTGACAAAGTCAATTCTGAAGATTACTATTTATTTCATATGATTAGTGATTCATTTACGTCTGTCCCTTATTTTAAGGTCAACCCCGTTACGTGAACTGAACTCTCGTTTTAATATGGTGAAACTATTCCTTTTTAAAAGAAACATTAAACATCTAATAGTCAAATCATATAGTAAAAGCAGGTGAGCTGGTTCTACTCTTTTTGGCCATTTTCTGCTGTTTTGTGGTGGAAAACTGAGCGGGTCAAACATAACACGTCAACCCTGTTACCCATAGATAGACAGGCTAGAAATGTTTTAACAATTACATTTTTTTGCATTCAATTGCCACTCCTTGTTGCACAGAACAAGGGGATTTATGGCTGATTTAAGAAGAAATCGTAAACCCTGTTACGTTCAACCCTGTTACTTTATTTGGCACTTAATAGGCACTTACTATAGTCTTTTTCATTTTATTTATCCTCTTGACATGGGAAAACTTGTTTTTTATTAAGTTGAACATGTGCTCTTTATGACAGAATTAGGTGAAATCAAATGTTTATTTTGACCAAGTTACACTTCTCAAAAGGCACCAAATTGGTGGAACGACCCAATTCAATCACCATTCCGACCTGAATTCCCTCAACATCTTCTGCTCGTTTAATTTCCCAGAGGCTGTGCTATTGACAGGTCTGGGATTCTCCCACAAACACACAGACGGGCTTCCCTGGAGTCCCTCCTGCTTCTCACCAGGAGCCAGACTACACCAATAGAGGTTATTAGCATACAGGACAATGCTGTGGTCATTTAGGACAGTGTAATTGCAGTCCTTGTCAAGTGCATTCACAGCCAACGTTAATTGGTGATACCCTGCAAGTCTTGAGTGATTCCTGTCGACTGCCTCCCCTTTATCCCACCAAGTGAATGAATGCTTATAAACAGGGTCACACACACCTGCATTGGATTCTCATATTATAAGTTAAAGTACCTGTAATTATAGTGTTATTAATGTTATTTTAATAATCATTTTCTACATCATTATGATTATAATAAAAATCTCTCCAGGTAGAAGCTCGTAGGCACAGATCTAGGATCAGCTTACCCTCCCCCAATCCAAATCTTCATCATTAAGCAGGAGATGCAAATCTGACCTTAAATTAGAAGAACCCACCTGTGGCTTCCACCATGCCCTCCAGGATGACCACTACCTCAAACTCCTCCCTCTCCAGCTGTTCCTGGGAGATCTCCCAGAAGGGACTGCCCTCGTTGAACTCGTGACAGATGATGAGTGGTGACACCAGGAAGAGCCTGTCGTCCCCCGTATCGAAGCCCACATTAATATCCGTCTGGTTGAGCGGGATAAACTCCCCTTCCTTGGTCTGCTTGGAGCGGATCAGCTTGACCCGGATGGAGGCCTCCACAATGTGTGAGTTCCTCAGGTCTCCGACCCTGAACATCAGACACAGCTTGCTGTCCCTCACAGAGATCACCGCCTTGTGGGAGAACATGAGCGTCTCGGCTCGCTTCTTGGGCTGGGAGATCTTGACGAACATGCATCCCACCATGAAGGCATTGACGATGGATCCCAGGATGGCCTGGACTAACAGCAGAAGAATCCCCTCTGGGCATTTATCAGTGATGACCCGATAGCCGTAGCCGATGGTGGTCTCCGTCTCGATGGAGAAGAGGAAGGCGGAGACGAAGCCGTTGAGGTTGTTGACGCAGGGGATCCAGTCTCCATCATCAGTGTGGTCCAGGTCTCCGCGGATGTAGGCGATGAGCCACCAGATGAGACCGAAGAACACCCAGGTGGTTGTGTAGACCAGGGTGAACACCAGCAGGTTAAAGCGCCACTTCAGGTCCACCAGGGTAGTGAAGATGTCTGTCATGTAGCGGTATTTCTCGCGCACGTTGCCGTGATGCACGTTGCACTTGCCGTCCTTCTCCACGTATCGCTGCCGCCGTTTCCTCAGGGTGCCTCCTGAACGGTTGGAACCTTTACCACCCCCACCTTGCCTGCCGCCCACCACCATGGTCCGGTCTGTGGGCACCTGGGTGTTGTTCATGTGAAAGAAAGAAAGAAAGAAAGAAAGAAAGAAAGAAAGAAAGAAAGAAAGAAAGAAAGAAAGAAAGAAAGAAAGAAAGAAAGAAAGAAAGGGGTTAAATAAGATGGAGAGAAATGACTGTGTGATTTAACAAAATAAGTTATTGCTAAATTGATCACTTCCATCAAAACATCCATCACCTTGTTTTTGGGGGTATCCCATCTTGGTTTTGACAGCTTTTTGTCCTGTTTCTCCACATCCTGTCCAAAACGCCCTTTGAAGCAATTCATGGCCTCGAAGCTTAGGGCCACAGTCGCTGTTTCTGGCCCCAAACAGTACGCTTTCTAGCTGGAAAACATAAAAGCATATTTACATGAAAGATTATTCAAAGTCCACTATGTAGCGGACTAGCGACAAACCTGTGACATTTCATGTCAAACTGAAATGAGGTGTGGTGGTTTTTTAGTAACACCAGAAATCCATCATAAAATATAAAAGAGCCTACGTAATCTTTTATGAACAGCTCTCCATATCAACTCCTTATTACTGTTCACCTCTGTCGGTCTGGGCAGGCGAGGTTCAGAGAAATTGTTAATTTCTGCCATTAATCAGCAACAAATTATGCTCAGAACCACTTCACAGTTTTAAATCCCACCTTCCCACATACAGTGCCTTGCAAAAGTATTCATCCCCCTTGGCGTTTTTCCTATTTTGTTGCATTACAACCTGTAATTTAAATGGATTTTTATTTGGATTTCATGTTGTAGACATACACAAAATAGTCCAAATTGGTGAAGTGAAATTCAAAAAATAACTTGTTTCAAAAAATTCAAAAAAATAAATAACAGAAAAGTGGTGCGTGCATACAGTGGGGAAAATAAGTATTTAGTCAGCCACCAATTGTGCAAGTTCTCCCACTTAAAAAGATGAGAGAGGCCTGTAATTTTCATCATAGGTACACGGCAAATATGACAGACAAATTGAGAGAGAAAAAATCTAGAAAATCACATTGTAGGATTTTTTATGAATTTATTTGCAAATTATGGTGGAAAATAAGTATTTGGTCACCTACAAACAAGCAAGATTTCTGGCTCTCACAGACCTGTAACTTATTCTTTAAGAGGCTCCTCTGTCCTCCACTCGTTACCTGTATTAATGGCACCTGTTTGAACTTGTTATCAGTATAAAAGACACCTGTCCACAACCTCAAACAGTCACACTCCAAACTCCACTATGGCCAAGACCAAAGAGCTGTCAAAGGACACCAGAAACAAAATTGTAGACCTGCACCAGGCTGGGAAGACTGAATCTGCAATAGGTAAGCAGCTTGGTTTGAAGAAATCAACTGTGGGAGCAATTATTAGGAAATGGAAGACATACAAGACCACTGATAATCTCCCTCGATCTGGGGCTCCACGCAAGATCTCACCCAGTGGGGTCAAAATGATCACAAGAACGGTGAGCAAAAATCCCAGAACCACACGGGGGGACCTAGTGAATGACCTGCAGAGAGCTGGGACCAAAGTAACAAAGCCTACCATCAGTAACACACTACGCCGCCAGGGACTCAAATCCTGCAGTGCCAGACGTGTCCCCCTGCTTAAGCCAGTACATGTCCAGGCCCGTCTGAAGTTTGCTAGAGTGCATTTGGATGATCCAGAAGAGGATTGGGAGAATGTCATATGGTCAGATGAAATCAAAATAGAAGTTTTTGGTAAAAACTCAACTCGTCGTGTTTGGAGGACAAAGAATGCTGAGTTGCATCCAAAGAACACCATACCTACTGTGAAGCATGGGGGTGGAAACATCATGCTTTGGGGCTGTTTTTCTGCAAAGGGACCAGGACGACTGATCCGTGTAAAGGAAAGAATGAATGGGGCCATGTATCGTGAGATTTTGAGTCAAAACCTCCTTCCATCAGCAAGGACATTGAAGATGAAACGTGGCTGGGTCTTTCAGCATGACAATGATCCCAAACACACCGCCCGGGAAACGAAGGAGTGGCTTCGTAAGAAGCATTTCAAGGTCCTGGAGTGGCCTAGCCATTCTCCAGATCTCAACCCCATAGAAAATCTTTGGAGGGAGTTGAAAGTCTGTGTTGCCCAGCGACAGCCCCAAAACATCACTGCTCTAGAGGAGATCTGCATGGAGGAATGGGCCAAAATACCAGCAACAGTGTGTGAAAACCTTGTGAAGACTTACAGAAAACGTTTGACCTGTGTCATTGCCAACAAAGGGTATATAACAAAGTATTGAGAAACTTTTGTTATTGACCAAATACTTATTTTCCACCATAATTTGCAAATCAATTCATTAAAAATCCAACAATGTGATTTTCTGGAATTTTTTTTCTCATTTTGTCTGTCATAGTTGACGTGTACCTATGATGAAAATTACAGGCCTCTCTCATCTTTTTAAGTGGGAGAACTTGCACAATTGGTGGCTGACTAAATACTTTTTTCCCCCACTGTATATTGATCTGCAAAAAAGTATTGGTAGCAACACAGACAAACTTCCCTTGGAACACTAATCAGAATACTGCTCCATGGCCATGTGTTCCTTTGTATTGATAGGAGTTGCTGTTGTGAGCTGCTGTGATCAAAGCACCTAGTTCCAGTCTCCCGTGGTCAGTGTGGGGGAAGGGGAGGGGACAGGGCAGAAAGCCACACTCTCCCTCCCTCAGCAACACTCTCACAATCTCACTCACCTCATGTCAGCTCATTGCACTTCTGTTGTTATAAAGGTCTACAAGCAGCGCTTAAGATAAACTAATGACAAGAGTGAGTGTGTGTCCAAGTGTGTCCGAGTGTGCGCGCGCGTGCGTGTTTGTGTGTGTACGTGTGTGCATGTGTGTACCAGTGGAGGCTCCTCAGAGGAGGAAGGGGAGGACCATCTTACTCAGTGAATTTCAGAAAAATAAAAAATAATGAAACATTCTAAAATATATCCTTTTAGACAAAACTATACTAAATATATTCACGTCACCAAATAACTGATTAAAACACAATGTTTTGCAATGCGGCACACCCTCCATATGAAGCCTTCAACCACATTTTCTGATGAAGCATAAATTGGCTTTTAAGGGCACAATTACACGGAAAGTTCAGCTAACAAGGACAACTACAAGGAGCTTGCAGAGGTAATTGCACGTTACAATGCTTTACTTGCTGATCATATGGACGTTTCTACTGTCTTCTCAGGGATGTCGAAATCAATTCAGAATGACTTGATCGCTTCCATCGCATCATCCATTAAAAGTGAGATTAAAAAGAGAGGTTGACAGCGCATGTTTTTCGTGCGCGCTCATGTAGGCTTTCCACTTTCCTCCAGTATTTAGGCTATTTATCAATGGTGATAACACATAATCACTCCGGACAGACACAAGCAAAAACTCATGACATAAATGTTGCAGTGCCTAGGCTACATCTAAACATTAGAGATCTGTCATGCTGTATGGGATGAAAATTAGATGTTTTTTCAGTCTGATCAACTGTAGGCTACTAATAAGAGCAGCTGCATACAGCCTATGTGCCCTGTCCATCCGGTCAGGGTAAACTAATTGGTAATGTTATGTATTTATAGTGAGGGAAAAAAGTATTTGATCCCCTGCTGATTTTGTACGTTTTCCCACTGACAAAGAAATGATCAGTCTATAATTTTAATGGTAGGTTTATTTGAACAGTGAGAGACAGAATAACAACAAAAAAATCCAGAACAATGCATGTCAAAAATGTTATAAATTGATTTGCATTTTAATGAGGGAAATAAGTATTTGACCCCCTCTCAATCAGAAAGATTTCTGGCTCCCAGGTGTCTTTTATACAGGTAACAAGCTGAGATTAGGAGCACACTCTTAAAGGGAGTGCTCCTAATCTCAGCTTGTTACCTGTATAAAAGACACCTGTCCACAGAAGCAATCAATCAATCAGATTCCAAACTCTCCACCATGGCCAAGACCAAAGAGCTCTCCAAGGATGTCAGGGACAAGATTGTAGACCTACACAAGGCTGGAATGGGCTACAAGACCATCGCCAAGCAGTTTGGTGAGAAGGTGACAACAGTTGGTGCGATTATTCGCAAATGGAAGAAACACAAAATAACTGTCAATCTCCCTCAGCCTGGGGCTCCATGCAAGATCTCACCTCGTGGAGTTGCAATGATCATGAGAATGGTGAGGAATCAGCCCAGAACTACACGGGAGGATCTTGTCAATGATCTCAAGGCAGCTGGGACCATAGTCACCAAGAAAACAATTGGTAACACACTACGCCGTGAAGGACTGAAATCCTGCAGCGCCCGCAAGGTCCCCCTGCTCAAGAAAGCACATATACAGGCCCGTCTGAAGTTTGCCAATGAACATCTGAATGATTCAGAGGAGAACTGGGTGAAAGTGTTGTGGTCAGATGAGACCAAAATCGAGCTCTTTGGCATCAACTCAACTCGCTGTGTTTGGAGGAAGAGGAATGCTGCCTATGACCCCAAGAACACCATCCCCACCGTCAAACATGGAGGTGGAAACAATATGCTTTGGGCGTGTTTTCTGCTAAGGGGACAGGACAACTTCACCGCATCAAAGGGACGATGGACGGGGCCATGTACCGTCAAATCTTGGGTGAGAACCTCCTTCCCTCAGCCAGGGCATTGAAAATGGGTCATGGATGGGTATTCCAGCATGACAACGACCCAAAACACACGGCCAAGGCAACAAAGGAGTGGCTCAAGAAGAAGCACATTAAGGTCCTGGAGTGGCCTAGCCAGTCTCCAGACCTTAATCCCATAGAAAATCTGTGGAGGGAGCTGAAGGTTCGAGTTGCCAAACGTCAGCCTCGAAACCTTGATGACTTGGAGAAGATCTGCAAAGAGGAGTGGGACAAAATCCCTCCTGAGATGTGTGCAAACCTGGTGGCCAACTACAAGAAACGTCTGACCTCTGTGATTGCCAACAAGGGTTTTGCCACCAAGTACTAAGTCATGTTTTGCAGAGGGGTCAAATACTTATTTCCCTCATTAAAATGCAAATCAATTTATAACATTTTTGACATGCATTTTTCTGGATTTTGTTGTTGTTATTCTGTCCCTCACTGTTCAAATAAACCTACCATTAAAATTATAGACTGATCATGTCTTTGTCAGTGGGCAAACGTACAAAATCAGCAGGGGATCAAATACTTGTTTCCCTCACTGTATAGCCCATTTGTTTGTCAGGAGAAAATGTGAATGTGATCAAATGTGGTTTATATTCTAACTTGGGCTGGCTAGGCTGCCTATACCTTTTCAATCCAAAAGAATTAACTGGAATTAATCAATCAACATAATAGTGATGACAGACTGTGAGTACATTTTTTATGAGGCCTACAGTTGCATAGGCTTAGATGATGCAAACTGCATAAAGCAAGCTCAGCCCTGTGAGTTATATTGTCTATCAGTTGTTGTCTCTGTGTCTGGGTAGAGGAAACCCCCCTGTTAGTCTAGTCTAAATATAATTCTGTCACGACTTCCGCAGAGGCTGCCTCCCTTCCTTGTTCGGGCAGGCTTCGGCGTTCGTCGTCACCGGCTTACTAGCCACTGCCGCTCTATTATTCATCATTCCATTTGTCTTGTCTTGTCAATCACACACACCTGGTTCTTATCCCCTCATTAGTCTGTGTATAAGTGTTCCCTCTGCCCCCCTTGTCCTTGTGGGTGATTGTTTCTTTGTGAGAGTAGTGTAGCGCAGTGAAGCTACTCGTACCTTGTTATTACCGGGGTAGATATTTCCCCTGTGCCTGTTTCGTTTGTCGCTATCCAGCGCTATGTGTGTACGACGGAATAAACTCTGCATTCGGTGATTACCCTCCTGTGCCTGACTTCTTCTATCACACTCATCACAAATTCTATGAACAAGTATAAGGTTGATGCAGTTTGACAGGGTTTTCATCCCCCCCAGGGCCAGGAGTTTTTTTCAAGAGTTTTTTAAAACCATATGACCATATAGAAAAACTGGTCCCATCATGCCCATATAAAACCTTTTTACAACTGATGAATCATTGTCATACCCTATAGGGTCCAGAGTTTTCCTGGTTAGGTTACCGGAAAAGGAAGAACTCCAGGCCCCAGGGAGAAAAGTTTCTTGAGCTACTTTGATATGTCAAGTGGGCGAGATGCGCAGTCTGTGTTTGACTTTGTGAATTCTGAAATGTCTGAGTTTAACAATATGGAGAAACTTGTTGCCCAAACCAATGATGGCACTGCTGTAATGGAATGTATCTGCTATTTGTATTTCCAGCTAAGTCCCCCCCTGTTCCCTGATTTAAGAGGTGATGACCATTCCACTCCACTATTCATGTCAACCTGACATGAACTGAAGCCACGTCTCATGTGCCCGCTCTTCCACTGGTACATTAAATGTTTCCCCTCCAAGCACTGTGAGTACCCCTATTAATTTTATCTCATTACTGTATGTAGAGTCAATCACATACACAAGCACAATCACATTATTACACATCAATGATTTTACTCCTTGCTTGGACTAACTCATTCTTAGCTCTTTTGTCTAACTGTGTAGTGTATTGTGTTATTGTTTTTTGTCTTCCCAGTCAAATCCTGTCCTGCCTTCAGTGGAAGAGTTGAGCTCTTCTCCAACACCATTCATCCATGATGAGCCTGTCCTGCACTGAAGCCTATGAACACCTCAACCCCTGTCCGGCACTGAAGTCAAATCTCTGAACAACTCATGCCTCATACCCTCCTTCAATCACTGCTGTGATCCCTTTCCAACACTGTGTAAGTAGCCCTCTCATTTCCATCCTTCTAGATTTCTCTCTCTCAGCTCAGCAGTGTCATACCTTAAAACATTTTTACAGGGCACAGAGCTTCTGGAACAAAACACTCCAAAACTTTAAATGAATATATCTTAATTATAGAGTAGGGTGGCAAAGTAATGGTTGAGGGGCACATTGAAGGTGAAACGCTCAAGTCATCTTTCTTTTGAGCCACACTGCCCCCCATTCTATAAACTGCCGCCCACCATTTATAATGAGCAAATAATTAATCATTACCAACTCTCAGCACATTTCTCTAATGACCCCTATTTGACAGCAGAGATTCATTAAGTCCCTGAGTGTAGATGTTGAGATGAAAACATTCTCTGCCACACACACACATACACACACACACACACTCCCGATTAAACGTATTTGAAGTTATATGCTTAAAACGATCAGCCTTCATTCCCCATGCACTGTCCAGTGGTAGAACACGGGCAGTAGGTGTGGGTGTGATGAGGAGTTGCCTGTTAGTCAGCAGCAAATGTGTGAAAGCTGAAAGCCATGTTAATGATGCAGGTCTCTGTGGGGTACGTGGCGGGAAGACAGGAGGACAGGAGGACAGGCAGAGACAGACGGAACACACTGGGAGGCCACAAATCAGCCACTGATCCATCTAGAGGTGCGCTCGCCTGACGGGAGAGGATTAAAGAGACAGGGGGACAACCTGCTGCCTACAGGTATGACTGGGAGGAGAGACGTTAGCCAAGGACTGGCAGGGGAGAGTGGGAGAGAGAGCGAGGGAATGAGGGAGAGGGAGAAGAAAAGAAACAGGGAGAGGGAAGTAGAGAAAGAGAGATAGGAAAGGGAAAGGAGAGAGGTAGAAAAACAAATGGGAGGGAAAATGAGAGGGAAAGAGAGAGGGACAGAGAGAAACGAGTAGTGTTGGACGGAGCAAACGGCAAGGGTGACCGAGTAGATTGGCGAGCAGATAGGTCGAGTAGAGGGTTTCAGGAAGGGCGATAACGAGAGAGAATAGTTTAATAGGGACAGAAAGAGAGGGATGGAGAGAAGGGGTTAATGGCTAGAAAGGAAATTACAGGTGTGGTTGGAAAGGTCAGAGAGGAGAGGCTAGAGGGAAGATGGTGACTGGTTGTAGAGGCTGGAACAGCCAGGTGTGAGGTGAATCGGTGAGTGTTAGGTCTAGTGTTGACACCAGTACCACTACTGCCAGTAGCAGTAGCAGTGGCCATGTCTGTGTGTGCTTTCTCAGGCTTCTCTCCAAGTTTGCCTTCTGACCACAGTAGCTTCCCCAGAGGCTGTCAACCAACATGGCTTCATCCTAATGACAGGACTGACCCCAGTGCAAAGCAGCCAGTCAGCATCTGCTTCCCTAGCACAGCTCCACTTGCACAGCGTGTCACAGCGCTAATGCCACCCAAAATAAAGAATAGTCCTGTCAGGGATAAGGGATGGAGGCCAGCCTGCTGGGATGAAATGTCATGTCACCAGTATGAAGAAAAGATGATGTCTCATTCTCTGTGTCGCCTTTGTGAGAATCTTGTCGAAAGCACCAGTGATTCTCTACTTTTTTTCTTATTTTCTCACTCCATTTATCACTCTCCGCTGCTCCTCAGTCTCTTTCACTCATCTCTTTTCTCATTTCATCTGGGTTCTCATTTTGGCTCAGGATGATGAGGGTATAATGGCTTCATTGAAGAGTAATGCTTTATAATGAAATGACCCGTCCAGTACAAACTGAGAGCCACAGACAGACAGACAGACTTGTCCAGGACAGGGAGAGGATGCTTGAGCTCACTCCCCTCAGCCAATAAATTCCATAGCCAAAGAGAACAGCAGTTGGGAGAGAGAATGGGTAGAGGGGAATGAAAGAATACAGCAAGAAAGAAGAAGTGAAAAGAAAGAGAATGGATTGGAGGTAATTAGGAAGTGGGTGAGGTTGAAACGAGAGCCAGGCAGACACTGCATACTGTAGTCTACACACTATCTTCAAGGGCTTTGTACCACACTTAAATACTCTTCCTTTGAGAGAACTTCATCTTAGGGGGGCAGAGAATGAGTTGTAATGGCTATTATTATTTTCAAACGGCTTGTTTAGCATCATTAGATATGAGCATAATCATTTACACGGCTAGATTTGATCTTAAATGTCCAATGCAGCCATTGTTATCTTTATATCAAATCATTTCTGGGTAGAAATTAAGTACCTTACTGTGATTGTTTTCAATTAAAATGATCAAAAATAAACAAAAATAGCTTCTTAGCAAAGAGCAACTTCCCAAGCAAGAATTTTGCTAGGACTGTCTGGGAGTGGTCTGAGTGGGGAGGAGAAAACAGAAAACTAGCTCTTATTGGTAGAGAGGTTTGGAAATCTCCTTCTTATTGGTCTCCTTTTCACCTCATTTATCACCTGATTTACTTAACAAGAGGCCCATCTCAATAGGTAGCCCAGGTAAGTCATTACATAGCACAAGTGGAGGGGGCGGGCCTTTCTTATTTTGTTCTCTATTGCTACTCTATTGTTCCTCAAGCAAGAGGGAGGCCAATGACATCACAGATTTCCATTAGACCAACTCCTTGAATGCCCTACTCCTTAAAGTTTGCAGTTCTGTCTAAAAAAACACTATATTGCTCAAAAACATAATTTTTTTACCCCTTAGTGTGTGTACTTTACTGTATTTACTGGTGATGTCCACCAGGAGGGCCACAACTCCATCCCACCAAAACAGGTTGAAATTTCAGGTGGTCTTTTCAAACTGCTCTTACACTAAAAGGGCATTATCATTTTCACAATTTCAGTATTATTCCAACCTCAAAGTGTGGAAATATATATATATATATAAACGTTTTTGATTGCACTGGGCCTGTAATGAGACTTCCTGGCTATGATTTAAGCATGTATCACAGTAAGCCTTAGGCTCATATATATCATTACTGATGTATACTGACAGTAAAGTCCCCCTGGATGTTACATATTTCAAATATACATACTGCAACATACATTTGCTTCTCCATAAAAGGCCAACAGACCATGATTCAACCCACTCCATACATCTACCATTGACAGTAGTGCGTGACACACTGACCCAAGAGGTCACTGTTAGCGTTGCAAAATTCTTGGAACTTTCAATAAATTCCCTGGTTTTCCCGAAATCCTGGTTGGAGGATTCCCGGAATCAGGAAAGAATAAGCAGGAAATCCAGAAACCTCCAACCAGGACTTCTGGAAAACAAGGGAATTTATTGAAAGTTCCTGGAATTTTGCCTTCCCTAGTCAGTCACATTATCGTAGATTGGCTTTAGTTTGGACCGAGGGGCAGAGGGAGTCAGGTTCAGGGCAGCGGGTCTCCAGGGGCTCGGCTCAACATCTTTGGCCTCCTCAGATGCACCGCAAGTCTCCATGTTTAGCCCCGGGGCATGGGGTGTAATGGTCAGCTACGAATGCACTGCAGAGAATACTAATGAGGGTTCAGAAGGGGTGTTAGCCTTGGTTCTGAACTGAGGGGGAGGTGAGCATGTGTAATGGAGGTCGTTTGAAGAGCCCACACAGCCTTACTGTGTCAAATGCATTTTTGAGAAAAAAAAGTACAGGAAGATGGTTGATACCTGAGAGCGATTTACTGCTCTAGAATTGGCACCTGTTTCAAACACACTCCGAGAGCTTCTTTCACAATAAACGATCCTGGTGTTCCCTTGGGTAAATAAGCACGGTACCGTGGGAAGTCCTGGCGCTTCCAGCGTTTAGTATCTTTAATTAAAGCCTCAGGTTAGGTTCTCTCCTGTTTTAGTCTTGTTATGGCTTTTCAAAGGGCTTCATGATGATGGGATGTTAATTTGCTGAATGGTTGCATAACAACTGAGGGAAGCTGAGTAACACGAGAGAGCTGGGGAAACACTGCTGTTCTTACTGTATACTCATTGGCAGGTCTTAGTGACTGATCAGTCACTTTTACAATAAGGCATGGGTCCCCTCTATGGCTGTTTCAAATAGGACAAACTCTGTGTAAATTGGCTTGTAACTTTTGGCCAATACCAAGAAGTCAGAGCAGAGCAGGGAAATCCCATTAGTCGCTTCGCCAGCCAGTGTGATGGCGGTATCCTTTAAGTTTATGGGGCATGCTTGACTTCTTTTCTGTTACCATTCTGGCACAAGGTGTTTCGGAAGGGTCTCCTGTGAGGACGGTGTCTGTTTTTCTTTTTATTACCTTAAGAGAAGGCCACAACAGCCACCACTGCACAAACCTCTGCCATCCATAGGAGGAGATCATTGAAATCCATTTTTCCTCTCCGGAATGCCAATGTAACTCCCTCGGACTATAACTCTGAGACACAAGAGCCCACAAGAGCCCCCCCCCCATCGTATTCCCCTGGCCCCTCATCTACACAACTCACCACATAGTCGCTGGCGGTACGGTGTGTATGCTCTAGTGAAGTTCATAGCCGCCCCGGAGGTTAGCCAAGGCCATAAAGCTTTGCAAGCTCCGATTCCCATAACTGAGAGACTCCAGGTTTCGCCTGAGTTAAGGATGGGTAGCAAATCAGTCATGACATATGGATTGAGCAGAGCGCTCCGGAAAGTTTGGGGTTTATAGGTTGCCTGTAAATTGTGAGTGTTACCGGGGGAGCTTGTCTGAGCTGTTTCCCTTCCATACCATCATTCTAACTGTCTTTATAATGCTACAGATTAAATGAAACATTATTAGATGTAGAAATCAAATACACTTCCTCCTCACACAGAATACAAATTGACAGAATGAAATGACATAAACGTATTTGCTCTTCACAGCAATTGTGTCGTAAACAGTTGCACGTGGCCCCTCACATTCCTTTCAATCTTTTACCCAGATTTTAGCAGAGATGCAGAGAAGCATATTTAGTTTCTTTTAAAAAATTACCCCCAGTCAGGAAGATACAGACAGCTCAAGAGGTATGCTTAGATATGCAGGAAAATAAACATATAGTTTACATAGAATGAAGCGTAATGATTATGGCTCTAGATTGCAGAAAAAAACTGGTTTAGGTGTTTGAAAAATTATTCAACTAGTGTTAACATAATATTATAAACCGGATAGTTTGGCTCCTGGATGCTGATTGGCTGAAAGACGTGGTATATCGTATACCACAGGTATGACAAAAAAAATATTTATATTGTTCTAATTACATTGGTAACCAGTTTATAATAGCAATAAGGCACCTCAGGGGTTTGTGGTATATGGCCACTCCGCGTTGCGTCTTGCATAAGAACAGCCCTTAGCCGTGGTATATTGGCCATATACCACACCCCTCATGCCTTATTGCTTAATTATACCATTGCATTGTTGAATACTTGTTTCTGATTGGCTTGAAGGGCATTCTAGAGCGCACATTATTTCCCTATAACGCACAGTATATTTGCACGGTAGAATTCAATGGCTATAGTTCATTCTTACATGTTCTATGTTTGAGCTGCTTTTGAAAGCAAAAGTTGAAACGAAAACATTATTGGCATTGTTGAACTCCATAGAAGGTTAGTTCCACTCTGCTGGTGTGTAGTGACTTGTGGAACACACTTTCCACATCCTTCATTATTTTCCATAGAATGCATAGCTAAGTTGATTATCCCTTAGGTGTAGGCATGCATGCCAAGTAATTACATTAAATTAGCAAAGAGAATATAATTCACAATCCTGTAAAATGAAGACACAAAAACATTTGATTGGAAAGGAATACAACAGATCCCATTTCTACTCTGGCCAGAAAATATTATGACTGAAATGGCCTTGAAGAAACAACAGAAGCTTAACATTTTCAGAGATCATAGGTAGCATCATGAGTGTCTAAGAATACTCTTCCTGAGAGTTTCCTAATGTGTGTTAGCTGAAAGTCGTTGATAGAGTTATTAAACACACTTTCACTTTTGGAATATCATATCTTATGAACTAAAACAGTATATTGAACGTAGTTAAAACATACTGAAAATACGTTCTGGCAATATGCTCAAGCCTAATTTCACCAAGCCTTTAAATTCAACCCATTACAAAGCCTTGGTAGATGAACACCCCACTGACCTTTGATCATCTTCAGAGCCATGCATAATGATTAAGCTGGGTAAGCAGTGTAACCAGTTAGCAATCCCCAGTCATATTTAATATTCAAGAAAAAATCTAAACCATTCCAACTGACGCCCATCTGGTATTCCAATGGTTGCATGATATCCAATTCGCTGTCATCAAATCTGAAGCCTGTCAATTGCTCTTGAGCAGCCATGCTCCTACGTCTCCACTCCTTTTTAGAATTTAATGAATACTTTATGTAAAAATAATAATCAATTTGACAACGTGTGAATAGATATAGAAAATCTCTTCTTCTAAACATAATTGATATGGATAACAGGATGTATTGAACACACAGCGCCCAGGGCATAGTCGCAGCTGACTGTCAGTTCTATAATTATTATTTATTCAGAACCTGAATCGTTGATGACAAATAGCAGCAAGGCGCAATTAAAGCAGAGCGCGCCCGTGACTCCTCGGTTCTGGTTTACGTCATTATCAACGTAATTATTATGTAATAATGGGGTAAGAAATAATACACGAACACTTACTATGCTGTGCAGGTGGTAAGAGTGAGGCTGTTTAAAATTGTAGTTTACACGTGGGTCCTGGGTAGGCTAAAGAATTGGACTAGCTGTCAAAATTCTAGACGAGTGTGTAATGCGTTGGAGCATTTGGAACATGTGGCACGTTTTCACTCACTTGCTGAAAAACAACATGAAAACAGGGCGATAACGCAACACACTAAAAGCCGCCGAGATCATAAAAAAGGGGAGGGGAGAAGAGAGAGAAAGAGTAAAAGAAAGAGCGCAGACAAAGGGTCGCGTATCACACAGTATGATGTGGGGTTCTGAATGACTATTCAAAGGTGACGCGTACCACACATGTGGCGTGTGGGGTATCACATTCACCATATGAATGGTGTGATTGGTAAGATGTTAACACATTTTAAAGGGGTGATTGTTGTCTAATCGGGGGATGAATGGGGATCAGAAAATAAATACAGTATAAATGAACAATGTATTACATTGTTTTAAATTGTTCATTGGCGTCAACATTGTATCAGTAAGTAGTCTACTTTTATCCCAAAATTAAGTGGATTTCTTACAGCAATAATTTGTTAAGAAATATGATGCTACGCTTCTAGTTGCATACTAGTTACTGTTCAAATTCATGCCTTTTAAAAGCCGAATTGATTGATAGGGTTAGGTTATCTCACATTATCCGCGGATTTGAATTAAAACCACAACAACATGGAAACCTCAATAAACGAAGTTGTCCACATATTGACTTAACTAGTTTAATGGACACATAGCTTAACAACCCCATCATATAAGCTACGCAAAACCGATGCAAATAAAGTTTGCCCCCTGACAGACCCGACCGTACATGAACCCAGTTTGGTTGCCTAATAGCCTTAGTCTGTTCAGTCATATAGGCTACTACGGACTTATATACAGCACTGTCAGGGTTACTAATGTATTAAGCATTTAATAATTAGGTAGTTCATAAAAGACCTCACCTCAGTTCTACAACGGTGCTTGGTTCGACGCGTCTGCACGAGCTCTGACCAGTACCTGTCAAAGGTAGGCTACATCAGACACGACCACGGAGAGCGCCGCCAGTGCGTGTCCACATATCAACACATCTTATTCCTGTAAACTGACAGAAAACATAATTAATTTAAAGAAGAAGTTGCATTTACTATCAATATTGTCGTTTGGAATAAACACGTCTGGTTATATTGGCTCGGTGGTTATCCATGAGTGGGGCAAGGCATCCTTTGTTTGCACTGTGCTTACCTTCTTTCCGAACTGGATTTGAGAGTCCCATGATCGCTGCCATAGCAGACCAGGTGGCGGTTTTAAAGCGGTAAGACCACCACAGTAAACTGTGTCTTTTTTGTTCCTCTTGTAGCCCAGCCTGGTCTTATAGACTAGACATAACAGCCAGCTGTAGCCTACAGTTCATTGTGCGCGATGTAACGGACTAGGCTTGCCACTCCTACGCGTAATGCAAAAAAATACCTCCCCCTCATCCGCCCCCTGTACTTTACAGACTACTAGGCTTTTCTCATTATGTGCGATCTAATATATGTGCTTCTGTGCTTTAACTCCCCAAGCTAATGTCTACCCACTGGGCACAGCACAAACCTCAGTTCAACTTCTAGTTTTGATTTACATTTGGTTGAGTTGTCAACTTACCTGAATTCAACGTGAAATCAACAAAACATTTCACCATGTCATTGGATTTAGGTTAAAAGTTGGGTGAAAAAAATACGAAATTCCCTTACTTTTATGACTTTTTTCAAATCCAACCAGTTTTCCACGTTGATTCAAGGTAGTCATATTGAATTTGTCTGTTGAAATGAAGTGGAAACAATGTTGATTCAACCAGTTTTTGCCCAGTGGGTAGGACTTTAGTTCAGTGGGCTAACCCATCTTGTGGCATACAGATGACCTGGGATGACTGTGGAGAGGAGGTGGTTGAAGGGGGAGTGGAGGAAGTTTGCTTGACTACATTGTTACATAACTACAGTATATCTGAAATCTGAAGATGAATGTTAGCTCCCTGAGCGGACACCTTGAGCTTTAGTTAACTGAGCTCAAACAGTCTCTGAAGTTGCACAGACGCCTTGGGTCAATATTGTGAGATTCAACAGTCTATCATGTAAATCATGGAATATAGTGTATTTCAACCATTATGTAAAAATGAGTAAGTGGCTGGAGAAAGAAAGAAACGATGCCAGTATCTTCCTGTGTAGCCCAATATGATTTAGAGAGAAATAAAAAGATGCCACTTTCCAGTTCCATCTTGAATCACAGGTGCATAAAAGTAACTATTGACAATCAATCAAGGTTGGAACATAATTCAATTTTCCTGAAATTCACAATGCCCTCCTCCCCCCTCCTCTGTACCAGTACCCTTTTCTCTGTATATGAATGAGTGTTCAAGTTTAATACGTACGTACATACCCCAACCAGAAGCCATGGATTACAGGAAACATCCGCACTGAGCTAAAGGGTAGAGCTGCCGCTTTCAAGGAACGGGACTCTAACCCGGACGCTTATAAGAAATCCCGCTATGACCTCCGATGAACCATCAAACAGGCAAAGAGTCAATACAGGACTAAGATTGAATCGTACTACACTGGCTCTGACGCTCGTCGGATGTGGCAGGGCTTGAAAATGATTACAGACTACAAAGGGAAGCACAGCCGCAAGCTGCCCAGTGACACAAGCCTACCAGACGAGCTAAACCACTTCTATGCTCGCTTCGAGGCAAGCAACACTGAAGCATGCATGAGAGCACCAGCTGTTCCGGATGACTATGTGATCACGCTCTCCGTAGCCGATGTGAGTAAGACTTTTAAGCAGGTCAACATTCACAAGGCCGCAGGGCCAGACGGATTACCAGGACGTGTACTCCGAGCATGTGCTGACCAACTGGCAAGTGTCTTCACTGACATTTTCAACATGTCCCTGACTGAGTTTGTAATACCAACATGTTTCAAGCAGACCACCATAGTCCCCGTGCCCAAGGACTCTAAGATAACCTGCCTAAATGACTACCGACCCGTAGCACTGACGCCATGAAGTGCTTTGAAAGGCTGGTCAT